TACTGCTGATCGTTTCTTACTACCTGTACATACCTGTACATGTACACTTCTTTGTCAAGGCTAAGAGTTTTGTTGCAGAAGAAACAAGATTTGAGAAAGCAATCATAATGAAGAGCAGTACGGTCATTTGAGAAAGCTAGGAATTGACTATGTTCTACTTGTTTCAATTTTGCAAAGCCCATTTGATGGTAGAAGAAACCAGAAATAAATTTAGAATCAATGGAAAATAAAGTTAGGTAAAATATATTAAAGCAGATGAGAGAAGAGCCTGCAGCCACGTGAAGGTTATGAGGAGGAGAGATGTTGCATATTTATTGGCACAAAAAAGAGGGAAGATATTAGATATGTACATATAATCATGTGCTTCTAATGGAATTGTCCTCATTTTTCTAATGTCTGAATTATATTGTTACCTACCATCTCCTTTCATATTAATTATATGGCCTCTAGCTAGAACGTCAATTATATTATATATATTCCATGCACGACTTAACATAACATATTTTATCATATACAAATAAACCCTCTATTTTTCGGTGACATAATTTTGTGTTGTCGGAAAATTGATAGAAACATAATAATATAATTGAGCATAATTTTTTTGGTGGAAATAAAGCTTATTATTCAATCATCCAAAACCAAACCATATACAATTGTTCATATCATTCTTTCTCTTATCCTTTCCTGCCCTTTCTATACCCCTATTATCTTCCTTTGTTTTCTATCTATATATTTCTATACATTTTGTGCATGTTTCCGACAAACTACTTGTATAGTCTCTATCCAGTTCATCTCTTTCTGTCTCTTCTTTTTCTATATAACTTCCAAACAATTATTCTTAATTGAGCATAATTTTCAATAATATATAATGTATATTATAAAAAAAATTATTTAAATAATTATTCTTATATTACGTGCATAAAATATATATTTTACAGTCTTTATTTTCTTTCATTTTGAATTGTGTAAATAAATTTTTGAATTTTTATTGTTAATACTAAAATTATTATTATGAAAAAATTATTCTAATTAATTTTTTACTATGCTCATTATTTTGTTATTCCAACATTTTAGATATTTAAATACTTTTTATTTTTTTAATTATAAATAATATTTATTTATTCTATAGGTAAGTCCATAATATAAATTAAAAAGGAAAATTTATAATATTAAAAAGTTTAAAAAAAATAAAAAGAAGATAAATGAAATGCCTATAATTTAGAGTGTAAAATAGGGTTGGTAATCCAAAATTTGGAAAATCTAGTTGAGTGACCTTCTGAGTGTGATAGACATAGTTCAGTGACTTTGTTGTTACAAACGAAATAAATGTGACTTTAGGAGATAATTTGAGATAGTTGAGTGATCATTTGAGTAATTGATTCCCAAAAGTGATGTTAAGCGGGTTCAACTGAATTCGCTTCGTCAAAAAATAATATTGTATATATGTATAAATTACGACTAAAGCAGAGTAAATTTTGTATAAAATTTATAATTGATCCCACTTGACAAAAGCTTTGCTCTTGCAAAAATGATCAAGCGGGTTCATAGTATTGGTGAGGTCTTGTGTTCGAATCCTTTTCATCATTTATGCCTACTTTATTTATTTATTTTGTATAAATTGCAATCAAATCAAATTATTTTCCTTGTATATATTTTGCAATTTTTTATTTTTCTTTATAGTATATTTTCTTTTCATAAATTCAATCGAAATTATATTGAAGTTTATTTTACTCTAGAAGGTAATTTCTTTCATAAAATTTGCTTAAGACTTGCAAGTATGTGTTTGAAATTAATTGTCATTTGTTAGAGTACAAGAGGACTTTATTACGGGATCATATTGTGAGCAATAAAGACAAAAAAAACTTGCTCCTCGTACCTTATGCCGCTTATAGTAGTTATGGATTTCTATGATTGAACTCGCTGGCATAAAATTCTGGATCACCCACTGTTTACAATAGATTTTGCACGCTCTTAAAAAAATACTTTAATAGCTATACTCGAAATAAATATTCGGAACAAACGAGCTTGTTATTAAAAAATTGATTGGTTAATCGTACAGTATGGGGTCTTTAGTTAGTGGAATGAGTGATTGTTGATGAAAGTAGAGGAAGCGTGTTACACGTTATGATTAATCATTTCTCATCTATTAATTGTTGAATATGACTGATGAGCAGTATATATTAGTCAATCTATTCCAACATGGAGAGAGCTAATATAATACCAGCAAACCAATCTGAATTGGTACGAGAGGAAAATATTTTTCGGAAAATGGTTTCTAATTTTTTCATGTTTAGCTGGCTTAAATGTTTTGGAAAATATTTTTTTTATGAATTTATTTTTCTTTAATTGGAGGAAAATGTTTTCCTTATCAAGAGAAGGAAAAATATTTTCCAAAATTTCTTCTCAACTTTCTCCACCCTCACCAACCCACCCCACCCCTCTCCAAAAAAGGCTTTTTTTTCT